TGCAACTGCTAAGGAGGGAGGGAGATGGGAGGTATAGCTTCACTTCTACGTTAAGATGTAGAAATTGAGGACCTGTGACAAACAACAACAAAACATCAAAACAGAGTTAGCAAAGAAGACAATACTTAAGGAGATTTATGATTATGGGGCGAAAAGAAAGAATCTATGTATGAAAAATATTATTTTGCACATCGTTTCACATTAACAAATTGCATAACCAATAACAGAGATGAAACTGTACTACCTCTGTTCAAAGTATCAATAACCATTACATAAACAGTTAAACAAATGTACCAACACCAACCGATTGGCCACTTAAAAGATAAAAAATAAAAGATCTAGAAAGAAAGAAAGAAAAAAAAAAGATTATTTGATTGGATGGACTATTGGATTATTTGACAGATCATAACTTCGTTAATTTCGTAGTAGTTTAGCTTTTAATTGGATGGACTATTGGATTATTTTTTTGATAACTCGGTATCCGACCTATTCATCTATTTGACTATTGGATTTCGATTATTGTTATTGGGTTTTCTTATCTTCATGGAACCATTATGCTGTGTTTGGATCATGGATTTGAGTAAAGATTTAAAAGGAAAAAAGAAAAATGTAGATGAAATGTGAATTAAATATGATTGCATTTCACCACTTATTCCCTTTCCCTTTCCAAATCCTTAACTAAATCCATGATCCAAACATAACATTAAGGAAATATGTTGTTTTCAGCGTCATAAAAGCAAAGCACATTTCTTTCTTTCTTTCTTTCTTTTTTTCTTTTTTGTCTTATTTAATAGTACAAGTTGTAGTTTAGATTGTATAAGCATATCTACGAAAAAGTTGTATTTTAATAGCTGTCTATGTCAAAAATTGTATTTCTTTCTTTCAAGTTTGTGCCAGTGTATTATTTTCCAAACAAATTTGAAAGAAAATAAATTTGTGGTTGTATTTTCCAAATTATTTGAGCCAACATCAGTCCATATATCATAGTCACATGAAGTTATACATCATACAGTAAGTAACTATAAATGACAGCAACTATGGCTTTGGTTATAATTCTTGCTTAACATAAATGATATGTATGTAGAAAAGTGCCTACAATTTGAAAGTCTGATATAAATTTAACTTCATGAGATGTGGACCACACCTTATATCAATTTGATCCAACCATTTAACATTGTAGATAATTTTTCGAGTATTTTTCCTGATTATGTAGAATTGCTGTTTACTTAAAAATCAGAACTTAGTTTAATTCCTAGTACTTTTCTCTGAGGAAGATGAGTTGCTTTTAACTAGGCTGACTATTTGATTCTTGTTATTGGGTTTTCTGATCTTGATAAAGCCTTTTTGAAAATCTAATGTTTTCATTTGAGCATCATAAAAATCATACTCTAATAAAATTCCAAAATTTTATTATCAAGATCATTCATGATGACAATAATGACAGCTAATAAAATTGTTAAATTCTAATATTTTGCAAAATAGGTTCTGAAACAGATCCTAGTCAAGGATCCAACAGCTTGTAAGGAAAACTAATTTTCCAGGTAAAACATTTAAATTGCCTTCTTATGCATTCGTTATTAATAAGTATATGCTATACAAACATCATTACTTTAAATTCCAGTATCAAAAGATTATTGCAAACAATATAATTTCATAAATGTAGGAAGCCCTCAATAAAAGTAGTGTATACAAAGAATTGGAACACTTTTGTAAATGAAGAATGGACAAGAGTCATCCTAGACATGACTTCAAGTGTATGCTAGATAAGCAACTGATCAAAATAAAGTGTATGCTAGAGAGGCAGGTAAATATATCACTAGAGAATTTGACAATTATTTTTTCTAGAAATGTAAATTAATTAAATGCTAATTTAATTATTGCCAAAAACTCTCAATACTTTGAATCATTAAGCATTTCAACCACGTGTTGATCCCTCCACGTTATCTCGCATCAAGTACGCTCTACGGATCAAGGCTTACAAAGATACAACTTCAAGCTCTTATTTTAGAGATTATTTTGAAATTTTGATTGAGATCAAGTTATTCAAGCCCTCAATAAATTCTCTTTTCCTTCAAGCTTCTCAATTTGAACACTTAAAGAAATCCATCAATTGGTTTGATTTTATTTTGTTATCTGTTCAATTTTCTTTTCTCTAGTAATGTGATTTGACGTGTATCACTATTCTATAAATCCTTTATCTCTTACTCTTACTCTTCTTCTTAGACAACATAAAGCCATTGGATTTTTTAGTATTATACATTGGTTATGCTGGGCATCTGTTGGTATAATAAAGAATGAATTTTTTCCCCCTAAACTTATACAGAAAATCACTGGTTTTGCCATTCATTATGTATTATATTGAGTTGAATGTTAATAAGAACCTATTCAATCTGATGGAATTCCAAACAAATATAAAATTAATATTAAAATAATACGTGCATAGATAATGCACCAACAACATCCAATCATGAGAAGAATTGTATATTAATCAATAAAAATCCTCAAATGTATAGGTAAAATATGCAACTACTAATCCAGAAGGGGAATATTACATTTAATGATAACCCAAAAGCACCATTACCAGAAGTATAACATAAGAAGAAAGAAAGAATTAGAAACATAAACAGATTTCAATAAATAAATAATTACAGTCTCGTATCAATTACATGAGTACAAAATTCAATTACCCACACATCATATTTCACAAACTCAACCAAAATTTCAAGATATATCTATATATATGGAGTCAAAACAACTACCAAATCAAACAAACATTACAAACAAAAGCTATTCATATTATATTTTTCTAAATTTAGAATCCAACCACTCCAAGTGAGTTCACAAACGTGAAAGGGACATTTTGAAGAATGGGAAACAAGAATCGATACAGGAAATAGGGGTTAACAAAAGGGGATTCCGAAGAAGGGAATCAAAACAACTACCAAAGCAAACAAACATAAAAGACCTAAACCTAATATTTTCCTAGTTTTATAAACCAACCCAGTGAGTTCACAAACGTGAAAGGGGCAGTTTCAAAGAAGGGGATTGCGGTCTGGGGTTTCATAGAATGGAGATTGAGAAAAGGGAAGAGAAAAAAGTTGCAGAGAGAGAGAGAGAGAGAGAGAGAGAGACATACCTTGAGGCAAAGTCGATGGTAGGTCGTGTTTGCGAGATGGTCTTCAAGAGCGAAGAAGAGTGTCGGAGTGGGGTCTCAAAAACAGAGGGGGCTTTGGGAAAACAACGTGAAGAGCTCAGCTGAAAGAGAACAATCAGTGAAGAAATTTGTAAAAATCGTAACCGATTGAAAAGATACTCAAGATTTCTAATCAAATTATTCAGTGGTTGAAATTAATTTGTAAAAATCTAATGGCTTAAAATAAATGTGTATATGATGTGCACATCTTATTGATATATAAATAAATTTTGTTCCCACTGTTAGGGTATAAGGAGAAGGAAATCTCAATTTATAGGGGTCCAAAATAAAATAAGAGAGAATTGTCCGAGTTGGATACGAGTGGAGAACAAGCGGTGGTGACTCATCAATTGCAGTCAAGTAAGTGAGTGAGTGAAGTAAAATTCGAAAAATGAGGGGAGTGATAGAGAGAGAGAGAGAGAGAGAGAGAGAGAGGCCATGGCAAACCTCTCAAGCCTAGTTCACCATCTTCGCGAACGCATAGCAGCTTCATCATCAACACCTCCCAACATCGGAGACGATGACGCTCTCGAGATTAGATTTCGCGCTGTTCTTCCCAATCTCCTTCATGCCTATGTCGTCCCCTCTTCTTCAGGTCTCTCTCTCTCTCTGAAACCCCTCTGTTCAATAAATTCTCAGATTCATCGTTGCTTTTCTTGGTGTGTAGCCAATGAGAGAGAGGTCATCGTGGTATTGAAGCTATTGACTCACACAGCAAAGAATTTTCCCGGAGTTTTCTTCCATGGTAGGGCTACCGCAATCCTACCTCTTATTGGTCGCATACTACCATTCTTCACCGAGCCCACATTTCGGTAAGTGTGGTTAACCAATATTCTCTTTAGTGTGCTGTCATGAAATTGTGTAATTTTCTAGTGTATTGTCTGCAAGTTTGATGCTTCTTTGGTTATTAATGAAAGAATGTTTATCTTTTATGTTTCTTTATGGAGTTTTATGTTATTTGACTTTTGTGTAATGTTTGGAGTTGTAAGGGCATCTCCAATGCTTGACTCAAATTTCGGTAAAAGTCACTTAAAACATCCTCCATTGCTTGACCCAAATTTATAACAAATTGAGTTTTTCTCAAATTTTTACCCAAATCAAAGGAGACTCAAATCTTTACTCAAAAATTTCTACGCTATTTTGTGGGTTTTAAATTAATCAATCTGCCATTAGTGAAGCTTTTACTCAAATTATTGCTTAAATCTAAGTTTGCCCATTGGGAGTGGTTCATATAAAAGAAACTCAATGTTTTATTCAAATTTGAGTAAGGACTGCAGATGGCCTAAGGTATCCACTATTAAGTTATGGATTTTGTATATTTTGTAGAGTGACAGCACATTATGCCCCAACTAAGAAAAGAAATTCTTACAGTATATTTATATATAAACTACATAAACACTCCCCAAGTTGCTTCCAACCTTATATGTTTCCTTTGTGCCCTCGCCATCCCATGCTCATCCCTGCATCCAGTTCTTGCAATTAAGGTTTCAACCTCCTCAATAAGAAAAAAGAATGAACAGATGATGCATTACACCTGAGATAGCTTTGATATCTTCCGAGCAGCATTTATTACATTTTTGGTACTGTGGTTGGGTGTGTTGGCCTCTGTACATATTCTCAACAATATTTTAATTGTGGGTGGCTGGATGTTAATTTATGGTTACAAAATGCTATGTGAATAGTAACTATCAAATGACTATTAGTTGTAAATCTTTAGCCTGTGTTTAAATAATAAAAAAAAGATGTAGTTTGAATTTTTTATTACAAAACAAACAATGTTTGTGCAAAAAATGCACGTTACCACTTCTTGATACTATTCTTGCTTGTTTTTCATATTTCTTTCTTCATTTTCTGTTGAGTACATGTTTCAGCATCTTTTTATTTTTTTATCACTGGTTGTTGGAAAATTGACATATATGTTTCAGCTCTCGACATGGAATGATTTTTGAAACAGTTGGATCCCTTTTATCCTTGCCCCGTACAGGAGATTGAGATGCATACCGTCAGTTTTTTATAGACACCATGCTGATGGTTGAAGGTATGAAATGCACCCTGCAAACATTACAGTATATAAAATAAAGGTGATTGCATCATTTAAAGAACTGAGTGATGCTCTATATTATTTTTCTCTCTCTGTCGCCCACAGTGGTACTCTTGTTTCCTCAAACTTATGAAGAATGTTCGTGGAAAGAATAACAACTTTTTTTGTTTTCTGTCCCTTTCTCTAGTTAGTGATGGATGAAGGAATTGGATAAAAAAGTGTGACCCAATGCACAAGGCTCCCATTCAAGTGGGGTTGCATTACTTTATATTTATTATTGTTTTATTATGTTTTAAAAATTGCAATTTTACTTTTTGCAACTTTTAATAAGAATTTCCGTGGATGCCTATAAATAGGCCTTTTATGTAATGGTTTCGCAGACTATGCTATTGAGATAAGAGATTTTAGGGTTTCTTTTGTTTTCTTGCGCTTGACCTTTCTTTTCTTTTCTTTTGGTTACTCCATGGCACATAATTCTTGACACGCTATAAAGCTCCATAATTCAATGATTCATGGTCTAGACCATTGTGATCAGTTCTTCAATTATGTTTTCTCACTACTAATATATCTCATAGCCATGATCAGGACCATCCTGGTTAAAATTGTTTCTGGTTCATTTGTAATGGAGCGGTTCGTTGTCAAAAGAACACCGAAGGTTATAGTATTAGCAATTGATTTGTTGAAAGATGTAAAAAAGGGTTTTCTTGACTAAAGGCAGGGGTGAGCTTTCTCAGAGTAATGACCACTTTGAAGAACGAACCAATGACAATAAAGGATGATAAGAAGGGCCACATAATTAGAGTTACGAAGAAGTTCAAATTCTGATAGCAATTTTGGAAGAATATTAATTGTTAATGTTGGCAAAACTTATCCGATGATGTGAATTTTAGTATGACAAAGTCCTTTTGTTGATTGAAGATTTAGTTCCACATCATGGAGGATCTTGAATATTTTTTTTCTGGCAGGTTCATCTACCTAGAAGATGTGTTGCGTATTATGTTAGAAGATGAGGCTTTGAAGACCATGAGTCTTTTGAGAGGCTCACCTGAAAGTGAAAAAATAAGCCAGTCTTCTCTGAAGAACTGGGTGGTAAGAACTTGGCAATAGATGGTACATTTATTTGTGTAAAATTATTTTCTTCTTTATTTATAGTTTTACTGTTGTGATTAATTAATTGTGTAAAAGTGTTTCATTTATTTATTTTAACAAGGAGTATTGTCATCAGTTTACATATTGTTTGCTTTTAAAACTATCATGCAAATATGATAATGTGTTATGCCTGATTCTTTTAGGTTAATGCTTTTAGAGAACGAAGAGCGCTGGCCTTGACACTCAATGATACAAAAACCGCTGTCAACAAACTTCATCATATGGTGAATGTACTAGTTGTCATCGTTATAGCGGTTGTTTCTCTCTTCATACTAGGAATTGCAACCAGCAGATTTCTATTCCTCATAAGCTCTCAGATCGTTGTTGTGGCATTCATATTTGGAAACTCTTGCAAGACTGTATTTGAAGCCATTGTCTTTTTGTTTGTGATGCACCCATATGATGTAGGTGATCAGTGTGAGATTGATGGAGTTCAGGTATGATAATCATATTTTGTTTGAAATCGTGCTTATGCCCCTTCTTTTACATTTCCCTTTATTCAATTTCGACTTTTGATATGTACTATGCCTTGACTTTCAGATGGTAGTTGAAGAGATGAATATCTTGACTGCCGTTTTTCTGAGATTAGACAACCAAAAGATATATATCCGAATAGCATTCTTTCTACAAAGCCTATCAGTAACTACTATTGTAGTCCAGACATGGGCGATTCAATTGATTTCTGTGTCCATATTGCAACTCCAATAGAGAAGATTGCTATCATTAGGCAAAGAATAATAAGGTATAGAAAGGCAATCTCCCCCCTCTCTTTCAGCATGCTCTCTTTTTCTTCTTCCTTTTAGTATTATTCTTTTTACTAGTGCAAGTGCGGTTTTGATCACATAATATGAATAGTAAGAGTAAGATCTCTTTTGGTTGCAGCTTATAAATTTTGTATTTTTAGGCTGATTTTGATCTTTAGCAAAGTTTTAGCCTAAGAGTCAAAAAGTCTCTAAAAAATCAAAAAGTCTATAATTTATACCAAAAAGTCAAAGATTTCTTTTTCTCTTTACTTTTTGCACATCTTTTCGTAAAAAATCAAAAATTTATTCCAAACATACTAATTTTTTTTACTCCATATTTTAGCCAAAAAGCTAAAAAGGTATTAAAATAGCCTGTTCCCAAACAAGGTTGTTTAACTATTTTACTTTTTCGCTCCGTCTAGACTAGACTTAGGCCTCGTTTGACATGCAACACTTTTAGGCTAAAAGTCAAAAAATTACTAAAAAAATCAAACAATAATGCTTGAAACCACTAATTAGAGTTACCACTAATGATGTGGCAGTGGGTTCCACAGTGTGTGCTGTGCTTTGTTTTTTTTTTTTTCATTTCCACCTCACTAGTGGTGGATTTAGAGCTCATTATTTAGAGCTCTAAATCATTATTGAAAATAAAAAAGCCTATAACCTATATAAAAAAGTCAATGATTCCCTTTTCTCTCTAATTTTTACACATCTTTTGGTAAAAAATCAAAAAGTCATTCTAAAATACTAATTTTTTTACCTTATATTTTAGCCAAAAAATTAAAAAATTACTAAAATAGTATGTTCCCAAACGAGGCCTTAGTTTAGATGGATCTAAAAGGTAAAAATTTTGCCCCGTTGGTTTCTCAAGCTTAAGGTCAGAGTCAGGTCACTTCGATGAATTCCTGAGCCATAATAAAATAAAGACCAAAAACTTTAGAAATGAAGAGCAATTACTGATATTTTGAGTTTCATGAACATTTCTTCGATTGACAGCGCCATAGTCTTGTTAACTGTTAGAACGTTAATGAAATTGCAGTGACAATGCATTGAGATTGAGAATGTAATAATTCTAATAAATATGAATTTGATTGATTAATCCTCGTGGCTGCATATGCAGTTATGTTGAAAGCAAGAAGGACCACTGGTATCCTTCGTTGTTGGTAGTACCGATGGACCTGGTGGGGTTAAACGATCTGAAACTATCAGTGTGGTTGACGCATCGTATGAACCACCAAGACATGGGTGAGAAGTGGTTAAGGAGAGCCTTCGTGACAGAAGAGATGATTAAAATTTTCAAAGAACTTGATATGGAATACCATTTGCTTCCCCTTGACATCAACATCCGCAACATGCCCCCTATAAGCTCCACTTGCTGTCCCAATCATCATGACCATTATGAAGTTGAGCATGATAGAATTTGATGATCTTGAACAAGTTTCTTCTAACTGGACAGCCTCTGATAAGTGAGCAATCACATTATGCGGGTGGGAGAGAGAATTTCCATTACCTCGCCTTATTCTTGTGTAGTTTTTTGTTTTTTTCCTCTTATCCTATCTTTATATGGCTTGTATTTTTCTTTTTGTGTTTACCATGCTCAATTTCTATTTAGTACACCATGTACATGCATGAACCAGCTGTACAGCCTCCAGGAGTTTCGCCTTCTCTCTGGAAGGGCTGGGCAAAATTTACTTAGGCATTGGTAATCTTTGTACAAATCTTGTGACATGAGATTGTATATTCCTTTTATGAAGTTGGCATTGAGGTCTTTTGAATTTTGTATTTGCTGATTCTTGTTCAATTTTTCAGTCCATGATAGCAAGTGGAAGGTTGTGTAGTGAAACTTTGGCATGACCATGCATAGGATAAAAGAGAATTTTGCTATGAAACTTTCTTTTTGTTTTTGTTTTAATTCATATTTGAACTAACATTTTAAGAGTGATATTTTACTAATGATGTATATATCTCATTAATTATGTTTAAGAAAGTGTCACCATCATAATATTATACAAGAACATTCTTTAACATTTGTCTTTGAATATTATAATCAGCAATGTTACAGATCCCAAAAACACACAATTTCACAATCCCCACTTACTTGTGATTGGTTCAGTAAGAAAAAATATATATAAAAAACAAAAATATATGATTGGTGCACATCATTTTGGGAGTCATGGGGTCCCAAGCATTTTTGTATTGTAATAGTAGTGAATGATTGTTTTAATAATTGGGAATTGTGTCTTAAATATGATCTTTTAGGTTCATCTAAAAGCATAAATTCAAAGATAATACTCTTTTCGTTCCAAAATATTAGTTACTTATTCTATTTTTTATTATTCTAAAATATTAGTTCATTTTCAAAAATCAAGAACTAAAATAATATGAATTTCCTATTTTGATGTTCTTTTAAATTCATTAACAATATAAAAAGTACAATTATGACAATTGATATTCTTAAAAAAATATAATATCAAAGAGTAATTTTAAAAAATTAATATTTTTAAAGTGCAATAATTATAGTATCAAAAAAGTTAGATTTTTTGAGACTATTATTTTGGGATGAAGAGAGTATATTATTTTAATTAACATTGTTATTCAGGTTCAAAAATTAAATTTACTTTATAAACTTAGTGATATGTCAAAAATATAATTGGTTGATAATTAAATATTTTCTAAATATCAATTAATAATTTTCTTGACACATCTATAAACTAAATCTAAAATATATATATATATGTATATATGTATATATATATATTTTTTGATTTCACTACCTTTTTTAGTGCTCCAGAATGAATTTTGATTTGACTGTAACCTCTCATCTCTTGTCGGCAAAAACACATGATTATACTTATAGAACCCTCATTTATAGAGAATTCGGGATTTAGAGCTCGGTTTCGTTTGATTTAATTTTAGAATCATAATTTGATTATATAGTTATGTTTTGAATTTCAAGTTATATTTTGAGTTTTAAAAAGAAAAAATTTGTTTGATTATGAATTTTGAAAAGAATTTTGAGTTTTAAAAAAAGTTTTAAATTGTATTTTAAGTTTTGAGTTGTATTTTGAAATTTTTAAGATTTATTTTTTTAAAAAATATTTAAAAATGTTTAAGAAAATTTTATTTTTATTTTAAATATATAATTTTTATTTTTTATTTTGTTAACATTTTAACTTTTTTTTAATATTTAATTTTTTTTTTAATTTTAAAAAATTTTGGATTGCCCAAATATATCTAAATCATAACAAATTATTTGGTCAATACTTAAAAAAATAACAAAATATTTTTTTGAAAAAATAAAAAATATATTTTCTGAAATAATAATTCATTATTTCGGCTTTAAATTGCATCTGGTATTGCATGATTAAGTTTCTGGGGTTGAATTTTTTATTGTAGATTATTGTTGTAGTTTACTATTTACTGATATGGTTATTGCATTTTACCAGATTCTGAAATATTTATTTCTAATTTTATGTGTGTTTATTAGTCATTTAAAATTTCAGAAAATACCAAAAAATTTCAGAAAATTTCAGAATGATGTACATTCTGTTATGGCATAATTTGAATATTAAATACATCATATTATTTTTTTTAGAGTTTCTAATATGTTGTAATTAGAATAGCATGATTAATTGTTATTTGTTTAAATTCCATTATTAATTGTGACATAACATG